TGGTTCATCAACGTGCAGAACGTAGCTGGGGCGTTTGTCAGGCCAAAGGGCATTACTAGGAATTCAAAGGCCCCATATCTAGTTACGCACGTCGTCTTCGGTTCGTCCCCTTCGGCAATGCGTACTTGATAATATCCTGATCGTAAGTCCAACTTCGTGAAGTACTTGGCCCCGTGAAGTTGGTCGAACAAGTCAGATATTATCGGCAGAGGATATTTGTTGCGTACTGTCACCTTGTTTAAGGCTCTATAGTCTATGCACAGACGCAACGTCCCATCCTTCTTCTTCTGGAACAGTACAGGGGCTCCATAAGGGGCTTTTGCCGGGCGAATGAATCCCGCCTTCAACAACTCATCCAGTTGTTTCCTCAATTCGGCTAGCTCGGGTGGAGCCATCCGGTATGCGTTCTTTGCTGGCGGCTTAACCCCGGAAGGAGTTCGATTTCGTGGTCAATGCCTCGACGAGGGGGTAGTGTTTGTGGTAGACTCTCCGGCATTATGTCGGTATAGCTGTCTAGTACTTCCTTGATTTCCTCTGGGACAGTCTCTTCGGTGGTTGCTTCTTCTATCAGTGGTATGGCCATGAATGTGGGTTCCTCTCGTGCAAGTCCCCTTTTTAGTGGTTGCTTCTTCTATCAGTGGTATGGCCATGAATGTGGGTTCCTCTCGTGCAAGTCCCCTTTTTAGTTGTATGGCCGAGATTATTCGAAGACTACCTGGTTGCTTGATGCTTGCAGGTATTACTGTGGGATTGCGGTCGGTGATCACCAAGCATTTTGCCAATGGCATTGGGATGACCTTGTGTTCTAGGAGGAACTCCATCCCAAGTACCACGTCGAAGTCGTCCATGCGAACCACGACAAGGTCTAGCTCTCCAGTCCAATCCCCTATTTTGAAGGGGACTCTCTTAGAAACTCCCACAATAGGCAAGGCCTCGGAGTTGACAGCTTTCATTTTCCCCGGGTCTTTTCCTATGGTGAGTCCCAATCTTCTGGCTTCTTGATCGGCAATGAAGTTGTGGGTTGCTCCAGAGTCTATCAAAGTGCTCTTGCTCGGTTGAGAGTTTATTGTGGCATCCACGAACATGAGCCCTTTCTCTATTACCTCCTTCGGTTCAACTTTCCGTTGGAGGGCTGACAAGAATTTGAGTGCGCCCATTCGAGGGTTGTCGTGATCTTCCTTCTTGTCTAGCAAAGTCTCGACCCTTGCTTCATTGCTCTCTTAAATGGACACTTGAAGTGCAGTGAGAGAGGCCCGGTGAGGACAGTAGGATACCTTGTGGGGGCCTTTACACAGCATGCATTGCAAAGGCGTCGTCGGGTGGTTCCTTTGATGGTAAGGCCCTCGAGATGTCCCCGCCTGATTGTTCTGAGGAGGTCTATCCGTCCATCCATTCGGTCTGTTGGGGCTTCCATTTCGCTGGCCTGGTGGTCTGTATGGTTTGCCCCCATTGTTTGGGGCTGGTGTCGCTCTTCTTTGGGATCCTGCTTCGTTCCCACAGTCTACGAGTCTCTCGGCGCAGGCCATTGCGGCAGCTAGGGTTTGGACCCTGTTCTCATGTATCTTTGTTTTGGCCCACGGCTGTAGACCATTTATGAAGAAGAACACCTTGTCCTTCTCTGCTGTGCCCCTGATATCCAGCATCAGGGTTGAGAACTGTCTGACGTAGTCCCGTATGTTTCCAGTGTGTTT